CTGTGTGATGTACGCATGTATAGGGAACTGTGAATATTGATCAGCTGTCAAGCAGTCCCTCAACCTTTGTAGTCAAATGGAATTTTTAATAAATTGTATTTTTCAATGATTTATTATTAGTACCTAGAAATACAACTATGTTTATAAAGCACTCGTATCCAGAGATGCTGGATGGTTCGTTTTAGTTCTTTCCAGTCTTTTTTAGCCTCTAGTTCACCTTCTTGGCATTGTCATTCCATTGACCAGTGGTTTCCAGTAAATGTGGATTGCAGTGGTCAGGGTGGACATTCTTGCTACATGTCCATTTTCAGGAGGAACCATCTGTGTTGTATGGTGTTAACTGGAAGGTTTTTTTTGTTTGTTTTGTTTTGTTTTTTTTTTAATTCTCTGTGTCAGACTGAGGACATTTCCTCTTTCCACTATGCTGAGAATCTGTGTCATGATAAAGCATTTAATTTTGTTAAATGCTTTCTGTATTTACTGAGGTGGTTGTATGGTGTTTCGGTTTTTTTTTTTCTCATTAATTCAGATAATGTGATGGATTATTTTAACTTATTGATATTGAAATAATAAAACAGTATTGCATTCTTGGGAACAGATCCACTGGGACATGCTGTATTGACCCTTAAAAAAAATCTGGGTTCAATTTCATAATATTTTGTTAAGGATTTTTGTGTCTGTATCCATGAGGAATATTGGTCTGTGGTTTTCTTTTCTTGTAATGCCTTTGTCTGGTTTTGGATTAGGGTTTGTGTTAGTCAGACTTCTGTTACTAGAACAAATACCTGAGATTATGAATTTACAAAGAGAAAAGAATTTTTTTTGGCTTGTAGCTTTGGAGGTTTAATACATGATGGATTGGTCCTATTGCTTTGGGCCTGGGTGAGGCAACACACGACAAAAGAAACACATGTTGGGCCAAAATTGCTTGCCGGTGGCTATGCACCGAAGGAGAAGACAATGAATGGTCTGGGGTGCCGTGCACACTGTTTGCCATATTAACCCCATTGTGTGAGTGTGAGGGGAAGGATGCATGCAGATCAGTGTGCTGTCTTTTTGAAAACCTTTTTATTCACTTTACATTCTGGTTGTACCCCATCCCTCCTCTCCTCCCAGGTCCACTCTCCCTCCCCTATTCAATGTGCTGTCTTAAGACATTAGAGGCTGAGCTTCTTTTTTCTTTTCTGCCCAGCTGTTAAGACTGAAGTCAGACACACGAGCTCAGTGTATCTTGTCTGCATCTTCAGCTGTGCTTTTGGTAAGGCAAGGTGCTCTGCCTCCTTCATGGCCCCAACCTCCTCCTAAAGCAGTTAGTGACTGTCACTCAACATGCCCCATAAGCAAACCGTGATCAAACCAATGTTTAAAATATCATTGCTCCTTTTCCAATTAAAGAAATGGAGCACCATGTCCTGGGAACCCGCCATAGGCTTGTGCTCACCGAAAATTCATATGTTGAAGCCTAAAATCATAATATATTTGGAAAAATACAGTTAAGTCTTAGCGATATCATAAGGGTGGAGTCCTGATTCAATAGGGTTAGTACAGCTACTTTTCCAGTAATATAACAAAGCACCTGAAGCTGAGGTCTTTATAGTGAAAGTGGTTTATGTAGGAGATAGTTTGGGAGGTTGGAAATCCAAGATTGGGTGGAACCATTGATTCAGCCTTTGATGAGGAGCCCCTGGCTAAAGTACATCATAGTGGATAGCACCATGGTTTAAATGAATTCAGGAGAGAGAGAGAGAGAGAGAGAGAGAGAGAGAGAGAGAGAGATTACCTGGGAGACAGGAATCTGCACAACAGGAGGATGGACCAATTTTGTTCTCTTGTACAATTTATTCTTCCAGAAATTACATAGGATTCTAGAAGCACTGCCTCAGTAGAGGCAGTAGTTTAAGAGCAGTAGTTTAGTTATTTTTCAACTGCTGTGTCAGCACCACAACTAAGAAGACTTTTGTTGTCTTTAATTCGTGGCTCATAGTTCTAAGACTATTATGGTGAGATGCATGACAACAGGCAGACAAGGCTGGCCCTGGGGCAGTAGCTGAGAGCTTACATCTTGATTCACAAGGACAAGGCACAAAGACAGAAGCACTGGAAATGTCTCTGGTTTTGAAACCTCAAAGTCCATAGGAACACCTCCTTCAACAATGCTACACCTCCTAATCCTTCCTAAACAGTTCCACAACTTCTGACCAAGTGTTCAAATATATGAGCCGATAGGGACCATTCTTACTCATACCACCATAGGCAACATCCCAATGACCTAACCACCTCTCACTAGACCACTCTCTTACATGTTTAACCACTTCAGTATCATCACATGGAGGACAAGGTTCAAGCTTTCACTTCAAACATAGCCAAACATTTAAGACATCAGGATTTTGTCGTCCCCCCCTCTCCAGCCATAGCTGTATCCAAGATAGGAAGAGGGACTGTTAATTGGCTATAAACCTTCATCCTAACTTTTTCAAAAACTATGGACACTAATATCCTGTTGGTCATAGAACTTACTCTACAGGATTCTTTCATGACAGCCCAAGCAGACTAATACGGGAGCTATATCAAACAGGCCCAGTGTTTCCTGGCTCATTAACTCAAGCTCTGGGGCCTCTGTTGGATGTTGAGGTATGGTTCTCTGCAGGCCTGGACAGGCACCTGCCTTTCCTCTTATCCATGGCCCACAGTGCCCATCATACTTGATAGATTAGTCTTTGAAGACTCCTGCAATTGGTTCTGCTCTCCTCCCACAGACTGATTATCTTTCTCAGAGATTGCACTGAGGCCTGAAACAAAACCTCTTTCCTCACATCCACCCCAGTTTTCCGGAGTTCTCACAACGCCTTAGGTGAGTGATGAGGCTCAGGACTACCTAGCTGACGTGAGGTTGCATGTGGTATAAAGTAGATCCAGCAGGAGTGGGCTGAAGATGGCACTCTGGCCCCTCTGAAGATGGCCCCTCCAGTTGCCCTGAGCTGCAAGCCTTTGGATTAGGGAGTCACAGGGTTCTGCTGAACACGGCGGCTCACCGTGCATAGCTGGCAATGTCTTACACATATCCACTGTAGAGGCTGAGGCTTCCAGGAGAAGGCTAGATTCTAATTAAGAAGTTGAAGAAATCTGGCCTAGCATAGGAAGAAGAGAATTGAAAAAGATGGAAGGATAAAGTCAGGAGAAAAACAGGCAGGGAAATAAATCACACATCAGAGGACTTCGAGTTACAAGGCCCTGGGTTGGGTGGGAACACAGGTACTGGTACCCATCAGTGTCTGGGCCGTGTTCAGAGCCCTTCATCTCTGTTTTAGAGGTGGAGACACAGAAGTTCCTAACAGCCAGATCTACCACATCTGGATGCCCACCACGTAGATGGACACTCATGAACTTTATAGCAAGGCCAAGTGGCAGAAAGGAAGAGTATGTGTATTAGTTCCTTTTCCCATTGCTGTGAGTAAAATACACGACAAAGCTAACTTAAGAAAGAAAGAATTTGTTTGGGCTCACAGTTTGAGGGGATCCAGCCCATCCCATCTGGGAAAGCATAACAGGCTGGTCATGTTGTACCCGCAGCCAGGAAGCAGAAAGAAATGACCTCCGGTGCTCAGCTCACTTTCTCCGTTTTAGCCCAGGACTTCAGGGAATGGGACGCTGGTACCACATCCAGTTAAGCCTTTCTGCAAACACCCTCAGAGACATACGTCATGGTGGTTTCCATGGCAGTTCTAAATTAAGCCCTTCCACAGTGTGTGTATGCAAAAAAGGCCTGGGAGCTTGGGCTCATCTGGGCTTGCTGGTGAAGTTTCCGTCAACTCCACGTGTTTTTGAGACAGCAGCACAGTCGTTAGGCTAACACCATCTGGCATCAGTGGGAATGGTATAAGTGTTTCCATTTTAAGTCAGGCCAAAGCATTATTTTACAACATTATCAAATCATTTCTTCAGCAGTCACCTGGGAAGTACAAATGCCAAACAAACATGGAATGTGAAGGAGATTAATATACTAAGAAAGCGAGAGATTAATTTAGGTAATAGCAATACCCCTCTTCCGCCCAAGCTGGGGCCAGCTGAGTACATAGGATTCTGAATTGGTTCCAGAAGCTTCCGCAGAACGCAGGCATGTTTTTGACGTCTACTCCCACAGTCGAGCTGGCCTGTTACCGTGATGGGGAGTTTTATTTATTTGCTTTTCACTTTCCAGCATGAAATACAGACCTGTCTTGATTCCCCCGCATCTGGGTCTGTGTGAATGTTTCTAACTAGAGTCTCTCTGCTCATCTGTAAAGGAAAGGCTTTCCCTGGGACTGGTGGGCGCCTGGAAGTTTTGCTGGAGTGGCGCCTTCTGCTCAGAAGGCAGCTCTGCCTGGACAGCTCATCAGGAAAGTGGTGCTCGGCTTCCCTGCGGTAGTAAGTTTTATTTGGGGCTAGCGCTACTTGACTTTTTGAAGTGGTATGATTTTCTTATAACCCGACGGGGTGCTCTGCCTCAAGGTCACGCGCCCAGGTCTCTTCTCTCATCATAACCGGTTTACGGTTGTGGGTGCTGAGGTCTTTGTGCTGGTGGAAGACTGGCCTCAGATCTGAGGTCTGCATCAGTGATCCTAAAAGATTATACAGGGCAAAAGGTGGCAGGGAGTGGCAGGGGGTGGCAGGTTACAGTTCAAAATAAAGTGGCCAGAGGTTCTTTAAAAGTTAATTTGCAAATAGCATGCAGCCTAGCCCTTGGGTCCATCGGTATTTATGCTAGAGAAATGAAAACCTACATTAGTACAAAACCTACAGGTGAATTTTCATAGCATCTTGGTATGTAATGACCACAAACCTGAAACAGTTTAAGGGCCTTTAGGCAGAGGTTGGTTGAACACACTGCGGTACATGCACACCGAAGAATACTACCCAACAGCTAAAAAGAGAACCAAGTGTTGATATGAATAGTTACCTGGTGAACCACCTGAGAATTGTTTTTAGAGGGGGGAAAAAAAAA